TCTCGAGAAGCAGCAGCCCGGGTGGCGTGGTTTCAGCCTGGCAAGACCCTGAACATGTCACACTAGGCTTCCAGCCTATTTTAATGGGCACTGTTTTAGTCCACTTGGTGTATTGCTATTTGTTTTATAGTAACAAAAACAACCCCTACGAAACGCCTGTCTCTGCTTGTAGAATGTAGCCTCCCGGTATTACTCCATTCCTGGGTCCTAGCCTGTATGCCTCATCCAGTCAGGCTGTTCTCCTGCCTGACTCCCACACACAGGGTACTCTGTGCTTTCGCACCATTGAGTCTCTGCTGCCCTGACCTCTCCCTCACCCATCTGCCTTTCTAGCATGCCCATCCCCCTTTCTAATTGTCCTGCCCAGACCCAAACCAGCTGCCATTCCCCTTCTTGGCTTCTAGCTGCTTCCCTTATCCACAGAATTAAATCTCCGGAAGGAGGAAGATACTGTTTTACCCCTCCCCTGTGGACCCCCTAGTGCTCACCATTACATGCAGTGACCCATGGAAGAATACTCAGGGAAGGAGCGAGTCAAGCAAACCAGCTCAAGGGTGCAAGTCAGTGAAGCATGGAGTCTGGCCAGGCTTCCTGTGTTTCCACTCAAAACGGCCCTTCTTAATCACTGGCAGTTGCTGTTTTCAAAGCATTTCTAAATACATCACCCCAAACCCAATAGATTAGACAGGGCAGGTATCTGAATTAAGCCTTTTAATGAGCATGTGAACCATGGGGTTCACTGTGACATTTTCATATATGGTTGCACCTTTTACTTAGTCTCCACTTTACTGCTCTCTCCTGTCCCCTCCCTGAACTCTTGCTGTCTCCTTTCTCCTTCTGCTTTTATGACACACATATTCCATTACTTTCCTCCTTTTATAGATGAAAACCTGAGGCCCCAAAAGTTTATGAGATTTTTCCCACACAGTCCCAGGAACAAACTCCAACACATGTTCTTAGATTCACAATTGCATGTGGGACATCCAGGCAGTTCTATAAGCTGCGCAAGCACACAGGCAGTGATAAGCAGAAGGTTAGAGCGTGGCCATGGACAAACGACTGTGAGTAAGCCTCAAGGAAGAGGATAGAGAACTACTGAGCAGGACACCTGACATCACTCTGGTCTCAGGGCTTGATAATGGGCATACATCTGCGCGCGCGCACACACACACACACACACACACACACACACACAGGTCATGAACATATAACACACAAGCACATACAAAAATGTATTTGGAAATATTTTTTTCTTCATAATATATTTTAGGTCTGGTATGGAATTTTAAAGAGAATATCTGTTGGTACCAGAGTTAGAATACACTGCAACTAAAACTTGAAAAATCTTTGCTGATTTATCTTTAGAAACATATCAGATGACTCTCCTCACTCTAGACTCCATTTCCCACAGAGGTTCTCATCTGAAGGAAAAGGTATGGGGGAAGGTGACAAATATTTTTGTCATGTCTAAAACCAAAACATTTTAAACATGACAAAGTTATTATGAGAGTGGATTGGAGGCATATCTTGCCATCTCTTCAACCATCAATTTTTTCCTCTTATAAAATAAATTTTTTGTAGTTTCCTCATTTGTATTTCAGAAGTTGTTATGAAATGAATGGGAAATAAAATGTCTGCATGAGAAAAAGCTCTAAGACAAATTACAGGTGTTTGCATAAAAGAGCGGCTTCTACTCCATCTACTACCACTGTGGCCAACATGGGAAACCCTGTGTCCAGACCATAGCTCCTCTTCCAGGAGCCCTGAGAGGCTGATGGCTTCCCACTCCCATGATGAGAAGTTTAGAGACTTGCCTATGCTACCTGTCCCTACACTGATGGCCGTACAAGAATGACCAGTTCTTTTCAAAATATGGAGCTATTCAAAACTCACTGATATCTCCAATTATTTCTGGAAATTATAGTAAAATATTGACACCCCCCCACACACACACACCTTTCTATCTGTCTTTGCTCACTCCCAGAGTAACAAGACTTTCATATTTCCTCTTCTGCTTGATTACCCCAAAGCTTTTTTGCATGCTGCCCTTGGCTGGAACTACAGGCCCAAGGGTCCTTTGTTCACCATCTCACACTCAAGTTCTCATCAAGGCCATTCAGGAAGTCCTGGCCCAGGCCCTAATGTAATAGGGATGCATAGGAACCCTCACTTCCCTCATAGTGCTTATCATTTGAAATTAAACATTAGGTAAAGTCTCTGTCCACCTCCCCATTGGTAAAGTTCCTCATGGCAATGATTGTTTTGATTCCAACTTTGCTATCTTGATGCTTTAGTTTTTAGAGAAATTAGTAATTAAATCATGCTTGGGATACTGTCCTTGCTTTCTATAAGTTAAAACTATTATTGGGAAAGAGGAGGATAGGGAATAAACCAAACATCTGGCAGGTGTTAGGGATTGGCTAGGCACATTTGTATTTATCATCTCCTTTGCTCATCACAAAATTCTACTAGATTGTATTAGTCTCTCTTTGCTGCCATACCAAATCACAACAGACTCAGCAGCTTACAGTGTAGTGACACGGGTAGGGTTATAAGCAAAATGTAAAAATGTCAGTAAGTGGATTCTACATTCTACTATAGACAAGAGTCTGCCATTTAAGTGTGAAGATCACAGCCTCCCTGGGAGTCCCCCTGCTAGAGGGAACTTTAGAAAACATCACAACAAACTTGGCAGGACCCTTCACCCCCCCCAAAAAAAATACGTATGTATGTGTGTGTGCATATATATACACACACATATATGTATTTTTTATTTTATTATATATATATATATATACACACACACACATATATGTATGTGTGTATACGTATGTATATATATATATATAACACATGTGTGTGTAATAAACTTTTACCAACAATATAAATATATGTAAACTTTTAATAACATCCATATTTCTTGAACCTAAATGTTACTTTCTCCCCCACTGTCTCTCTTTCCATTTAAAACTTTAGCAAACATCAAAGGAGTGGGACAGAGCCACCCCATGCTTATGATATATCTGAACAAGATTAATTGTGGTAGATGTTTACTTTCTTTTTTAATCTTTTATCCAATTTTTGAAAAAAAAATTACTCTGACAATGTAATTCCAGCCCAAAGATGAGCATGCATCCCTTGGGGTGTTTGTTTTTGTTACTGTCCTTCATTTTATGGACCTTATAAACAGAGTAGCTTGGAGAGAGTTTAGTGAAAAGTAGGTTGAATACATACTAAGCATGGGAAAGGTTGGGAAGCCTCACTGAGAATATGTGGGAAGTCCTCCCGGCTGATGCTAGCATCCAAATCAAACTTTGGAACTTTGGACAAAAAAATTCCAAGTCTTATATTTGTAGATTTTTTTTCTATGTCTTCACAGTAAGGACACAGTCACTAGTAAGAGTCAACCGTTAAGGGATGGGAGAGACAGAGCAGTTAAGACTATCGCACCTGCTTGCAGCTCACCACTGTCTGCAACTCCAGCTCCAGGAGGTCTGATGCCCTCTTCAGGCCTCCTCAGGCAATACATATACATGTTGCACATACAGACACACATACAGACACTCAAACACTCATACACATTAAATAAAAACAAGTCTCTAAAAAAATAATAACAGACAATTAAGGGGTGCCCTGGGGATCTTGGAAACTTGGCTGGGAATGACACCTTTAGCAGCATGCTTGACCAGGCCTGTCCTCAGGATCCCCACTTGTAAGAAAAACAAGACAGAAGTTTGGGGGGAGGGCTCAGTCAGTAAAATACTTGCTTTACAAGTATGAGGACTTAAGTTCAATTCTCAGAACACATGTAGACATGTTAAGTGTTGCATGCTTGCAATCCCAGCACCCCAAAGGCAGGAACAAGACAATATCCGAGTCACTGGGCACCAGCCTAGTCTGACTAGCAAGCTTCAAGCCAATGAGTGACCCCATGTTAAATGAGGTAGATGGCTTTTCCTCACAATGACACCAAAGATTATTTTCTGGCTTCCACATATATGCACACATACATGTACTCACATATGCACAGAGGTACAGAAAAAAATAAGTAAAATGGACAAAGGTAAGCAGGAACTAACTCATAGTGTGTATTAAAGCAGACATTCTGAGTCTAATCCATCTTTGCCAACATAATAACCCTTGAGTCATGTTCACTGCTAGAATATTATCAGACTCAGGCAGGACAGAGATAACCAGATCCTTGTGGACCAATCTCAAAGGGTGCTTAAGGCAGCTACCCCAATCACATACAACCACGTGGGCCTAATGTAAGTCCAACAACAGCAAACCGTCTGATAATTCAGTGTAATTAAATTTCTAGCAGACTATGGTATTTCATAATAGTTTATTGTTCTTCCAAACAATAATCTCAAAAGCAAATTATATTTGAGCTTTCTAAAGCACCTAGGCCATAAAAGAATTCATATCAGTTGTAAACATAAAATTCTGTTTTGTGGAGAAAATAGCTATTCCTACATTAGGTGCAGAACCCATGAAGCCAAAAGAATACACGTTCAGAGCTCGTGGATTGAAAAAAAAAAAAAAAAAAAAAGGAAGACTCAACAAAATACAATCTAACTCAGGAATGGGCTGGGTCCCACCCTCCATCTGTCTGTGAATGAAGTTTTACTGGACCACAGCCATACTGTATTCGCGTGCAGCTATGACAAATATCATCTAGCCCACAACACTTCACCTTTTTTACTATGTGCCTTTTACTGAGAAGCATGTTTCTAGTCTTCTGTTATAGAAATGGGAAAAAAAACCCTGAAAACATTAAAATGCCAAACTTTACTAGAGTTCCTTTTTAGTGGCAGCACGTGGGGATAAAATGTGCCCCTACCCATCTTCCCAGCGTAAGGGGAACAACGGCAGGACCTCAAAGACTGGCGGCATGTGACCTTGCAGTGCATGGCTCCGTTTGTGTCGGCCACTGCTCATCCTACCCCACCCCCACCCACCGACGGGATTCTGCACGTTGGTGGGTATGTAAGACTCACTTGGGCTCTGTCTTCACTCTTGGTTGGCATTGTTCTGGGTCCCTGCCCTGATGCCTCCTCTGCAGCTGCTTTCCTGGTGACGTTCTGAAGCTCTGGTTTCTTTAGTGCTTGCAGCTCACAGTGCTGTGACTTTATTTTCAAGCTGTTGGGGGATTCCACAGATGGAGCTTTCCTGCAGAGAAACAAACACATTGCTCAACAGGGCCAGGCTCTCCCATCAAACCACATGAAACCAGCAGCAGCTGGCTTGTTATGATGCTTATCACCGGGTAGATCTTGGACTAGAACTTTAAAAAAACATTAACTAAATCCCCATAACAACCCACTAAGAAAAGCATTGTTATCTTTGCTTTACAATAAAAGGCTCAAAGAAACACTGTAATTTACCGAAGACCACATAATAGTATTGTCAGGATTTGAACTCAGGACTACCCAGCTCCTGATTCAGCTAGGCTGCTAGTACATGCTGTTTTCGTACGACCATTCAGAGAGTACACCCTGCATCTCTGTATGCTCATTTATAGCTTTAACATCTTGAGTGTTGGCCTGAGACACTATCGGCCTTCGGGCGCTAAGGTTAGGTCCACACGTCTGTCCTGGTTTTATCTCACCATCTTAGAGTGGGGCTGCCCAGAACTCGATTAGGGTACCCAGAAGAGGTAACCATCACCTACCTGCCTCCGCATTCCAAGTCACCTATGTGTCCAGTTAACAATATCACTTTCTCATGAAAACTCTCACCACCTCAGAAGAGGTTCAAACTCTTATGCCTAGCCTTCAAAGCACCTTAGAGCATGGCTTCCCATCTCCCGGGGTTCACTTGCTGTACCCCAAGTACTCAGAAGGGTTCACCAGCCCCCCAAAGAGCTGTTTAAAATAGGCTTGAAGAGCCTGATTTTGCCTCTATGTGAAGCGTCTCCCCTATTCTTCTATAGCTGGAAACCCAACTCAGCCCTCAGGCCAACTCAGCCCTCACCTCTTCTGTGCCTCAGAATGCTGCACTTCTATCTGGAACAGGTGAGATCCTGTTTACACCTTAATCAAATCTCTGGCGCAGCCTGCCTCCCTGGCAGCTGCTTGTCTATCTTGCCTTGTTTCCCTCCTAGGCTAAAATTCTCTCAATTCTCTTTGCATTCCTGGTGCCTGGCATCGAGCAAACACCTGAAGAGCCTACCTGCTCAGTTGCCCACAGCTGCCCTCCTCTTTCCTGAGGTCCATAGACTTAGACAGGTGGCTCAGTTCTTGCAAACACACCTGACAGTTGGCTGCATCCTGCGGTGCTAAGAAAGCAGTAGTGGAGGATGGGGAGCCAGCATGCTCACGCAAACCACCACCGGGGGTCTGCCCAAGTCAGAAGCAGTTGTTTGGCGGCATCGCAGCAATGAAGGGACTCACTGAACACTAAAGAACTTTCTAGAACGAGCTAAAGTGATTCCTCCGACCCTCAAATTTCACTGCACTCTTCTATGCAGAGCTATGAACAAAGGTATCTTTACAGTGTCTTGTGCAATACCTTTCCATAAGCTCATGTGTCTGCATGCTCGGTCTCTAGCTGATGGTAGTATTTGGGAAGGTTGTAGAGCCTTTAGGAGGTGGAGCCTCACTGGAGGAAGTGAGTCACTGGGGCAGGCCCCACTTTCTGTTCACTCTGCTGTCTGACTGTAGCTGCAGTGTAAACGGATGCCTCACACTCTGCCACCATGGCTTCCCAGCTATAAGAGAATAGATTCCTTTCTAATTTTGAGACACAGGTACCTCTCCTTCCTTGAGTTGCTTTTGTCAGGTATTCTGGCACAGCAATGAAAAAGCAACTAATACATGCTGCCTTTATAATGGCAGCCAGTCTGTGGCTGAGCGCATGCCTCTCACCTGAGCTCCGAGTCCTGTGCTGCTCTCAGCCGTGCTCTCTCAGCAAGGATCTCATCACACAGCACGTCATAGGGTTTGTCGAGATGGTGCTCACCCATCACCCAAACCCACACCTTCTTATCAGCGCCCAGCTTCCAATGGACAGACTTGCCATTCTCTGCAGACAAAACAAAAATTGGGTCAAACAACTTATTTCTGGAATATCATTTGTCCCAATCACTTTAGTGTTTTCAGTCATTGGTGAGGGTGAGCAAAACGAAACACTTCCAGCCTGCTCAGAAGCAAACAATAACACTAGGGGCTGTGATACTCTGTCATAGTAATCCTATGGGACTGCTGTTTACACCTGAGAGATGTTGAGGGAAGACAGAAGCACTCACGGTATGGTATCCATTATCCTTCAGGGTAAGAGAGTGAGCTAGCATCAGGTAGCACAACCTAGTAAGCCCAAAGATTTCCCCATAACTCAGAATTGCAGTTGTTCAAGCATTTGGTGTTTCCACTACCTTTACAGGACCCAAACAGCATGCAGTTTAGAGTTGGACTGGTTTTGTTCAAATCTTAGCTTTGCCACCTACTGGCTAAGTGACTTGGAAAAAATGGTATCTTTAAGACTCAATTCCTTCCTCTGCAAAATAGGGATACTAACATCTACCACAATGGCAGCTGTGGAGAACAGGCAGCCTGAGGATGCCTGTGCACCTGCCACATACTAGGAGTTCAACGAAGGTTAACTGCCTTCATCAGCCAGCCTATTACTTACTTATGTGGCTGCTGGGAGAGTCACGCCAGCCCGGGGACGATAGTGCTGGATATTGTGACTCGCGGTGAAGCTACTTAAATAACCCTTGTCTACAATTGGTCTCTGGGGCTGTATTACATACAGTTTCTAGCTCCAGAAATGTAGCCAGATGGGAGCTTGGTCCCTGAGTCCAGGGAAATCAGAAGAGATCAAGACATACAGTCCCTAAACTAAAGGGACAGATCTGGGATCTGCTCAGGTTATTGTGGTCCAAAGTCAGGTCTAGCCAACACCCTCAAACCAGCCAAGGGTGCTGAGTGTGTGAATAGGACTTAGTTTATAGTGTTCCATGCTGTATTCCTTAGAAATTCACACTGGGATTGCCTCTGGTCTCCTTATGCTGAGCAGAGGAAGCTTCTCAGTTCAAGTGTTGATGAACCATGGGCCCACTTCAGACTGCTGCCTCAGGTTGAATTGTAGAAGCAGGTTGCCCCTCTTGACCTCTGTTTTCTGCTCTTCTCCGGATAAATGAACCATCCCCCTGTCTCATTTCAGAAAGTTCTGAGCAGAACTACTGAGGAAAGTGGGGGAGATTTGTACAATCTTCACCATAGGACTTAAAACTATCAGAGAGACGGAACCACCTTGATCCTGTTTTCACCTGTAGAGACTGTAGACACTGTGGAACCCAGGTAGCAGGGGAGGTGAAACCCTGTGTGATCTACTGGGGACAGCCTCTTGTGACAGCCCTCACAGGTCTTACAGTTTCAAGACATGACAAATATTTAATTAATTCTAGATAGCTGTCATAAAACTGCCTCTCACACACTCCTGGGACCAACTGTAATATTTTTATCCTGCTCATTTCTCAACCTTCTATTAAGTAATCTCTGCTAATATATCTTTTGACAATAGGAGGATGACACCCAGAGTAGACAGTGGTAAGGTGCCAAGAGAGACAAACACTCAGGGCCCAGAGAGTTGTTGTTCAGCTGAGACACCGTATGACTGTCCCCCAAACAGCATTCAGCATGACACTGCGGGAGAAAGGTCTGGCCCTGCGGTGGGACATACAAGACCTAGTAGGGCAGGTGAGCAGTAAAGAGTGTGACTGAAAGCAGAGAAGACAAAAATAACAGGAGCTCAGAAAACTGAGAAGTTGAGGGGGCTATGAACTGTGGTGCTCCATGTACTGTGGCCATGAGGAAACACTGGTGACGAGTAAAAAGATTAGAGTCAAAATGTCAGACTTAGGCAGATGCTCAGAATGGGGCTCTTAGCAGAAAACCCTTACTGGTGAGTGACCTGTGTTCTGCCTCCACAGCTCCAGGAGCCCATGAGAAGGCACGGAAAGCAAACAGAGCTTAAGACTGGCCAGGTGAACTTGGAAATGACACATATTATCGTTGAAATCTCTGGCATAGCTGGACTGACAGAGACATGGAAGCCCAGAAGAGAACCCTTGAGACACATGGGCTTTACTCAGGGGCAGAGGAAAAGAATCCAAATTATATATAAATAATTTGAAAGTGGAGAATTCTGATTCCCACATAACTTAGTAAGGTAGAAGGCGACTGGGAAGTACAAAGCCTCTCAGAGGAGAGGGAAGAAGAGTGGTACTAAGTGATAGTGAGGGGACCAAGAATGTCAGGAACACAGGAGGCAGGTGACTCAGAATGTCAGGAACCGGCTCAGGCCTCAGGGATGTGTTCTAGAGGATTCCATCAGCGAAGGAATTGGGCTGTTTGTTCAGCAATCATTTCCAGAATGTCTGCTAAATTTCAGTGCTGCTCTAAGGGCCTCGGGGACAGAGAGACAGTAAAAGCAAAGACACATGAGGGATCTCTTTAAATTGAGGAAACAGGGCAGGGCTTATGCCTGCCCTGAGGTGAGAAGGTAAGGATGCCAGGAAGGCTCAAGCCAGGGGAATGATGGTCAGAAAGGCTGTGGACATAAAAAGAAAGCATTGGCTGGGGATGTGGGTCGGCCAGCAGAGTGCTTACCTAGCATGCATGAGACCCTGGGTTCAGTTTCCAGCACAACCGTGAAATCAGGCACGGTGGCTCGTGAGGTACTCCCAGCACTTGGGAGGACGATCCAAAGTTCAATGACATCCTTGGCTATTTAGGGAGTTGGAGTTCAGCTTGGGATATGTGGGACTTTATGATGAAAGGAAGAGGAGGAGGAAGAGGAGGACAAGGAGGAAGAGGAGGACAAGGAGAAAAAAGAAAAGCAGAGGACAGGCTTGAACAGAACCACATAGGCCCTAACATACCTCTTTAAAGAAAAGACACAAACTTAAGAATTCTGAGTGTGACATGCGTAATATCTCCTCAGTCTAACGCTACCCAGTCATTCTGGATTTTCCATCTACCTCACTTGAAATTATATACATTTTTCAACCTGAACATGTGGAGGAAGGGCTCTTTATACAGTACTTCTAATTAATTACAAGGTCTTTTGCTTCTCCAGACCTTTAATAGTGACTGTACAACCACAGGGGCTCCTACACAATTCTTTTAAAACCAGCTTTTCTAGAAAAGTGGGTCCATCCTCCTTGGGGACTACATCATAAAGAACTGCTAAGCAGAGACCTGCAGCCTCACCTGTTTCCTTAGAGACATGTTTTCTCTGGACTAAGAGATTTTTCCTACTCATATGCAAACTCTCTAATGAGGCAGTGCTGTAAAAGGCCACGTGAAAATGGAGTGGTACATGTCTTTGTCAGGGAAATGGCTAGACTGTTCCAGTTTTATATTCCTGAGTACAACATAACACTGTTGTGTTTGGTGCTTCCCTGTGATCCAGCAGGAATACAAGCTTCCCATGACAAGTCATGACAAGTCAGGGATGCACTTCAGTGACCCCTTCCTGGGGCATTGGCTCACAACATACTGACCATAACGCAAAACTCTATTCATAACAAATAACCCTATTCTTAATGCTACGTTACTGTGAGTCCACTGAGTGCCAGCAAAAGCATTTCCCCCCATGGGAAAGCAACGCACACTGAAAGAGTTCAGCACTGCTCTGTGTGACTGACAGAAGCAGGGCTCTGACAGTAATGTAGTCAACCATCCCGAGATGCTTCTGCACCCTGACACCTCAGAGGCAACCGTACCTTTCACCATTCTGAGCTCCCCTCTAAGAGCCCTCATCCTCAAGTAGAAACCCAATGATGAACATTAGCGGCCAGTTACCTCTGAGCCCTCCTGGTGTGGCCAGTGTCCCTCTGACTGGTGGATGCCATGCCATACTCATCTTTGTGCACTGTCCCAGGCCACTCCTAGCTATGTTTGTGAGGCTCTGGTGGCTCAGACAAGCAACTTCCTCAAGATAATAAAGTGTTTACATACTGAAAGAGGGAATCAAAACTGATCTGTGTGATGGCAAAGCCTGTGTTGAAAGAATATTTTGGTTGTGTCTGAGAGTGAAAAGAGAGCCAGTAGGATCCTGGGTAAACTGGTTCACTTTCATTAAGGACAACATTGTGTTCTTTCTCATCTCATAAGGTGAGATGGGGGTATGAACCGGCCAGACATGTCTCCATGTTCACTTTAATGACGGCCAAGGCCAAGTTCTATCAAGTCTTCCGTAAATTACTCGTTGTTTTCCGCTTTTCCCTATAATTTCTAATCCTGTTAAATGTGCTAGAGTTACTAACCCCTAAGTCATTATTTAATTTAATGAAATCATGTGCATATTTTAGAGACCAAAGAACAGAGAAAGCTGGGTAACACTCCTGACATCACAGTCCCAGGAAGCAAGTAGTGAATAATTAAGTAAGACTTTCAATCAAAATAGTAAACAGAAGCAATAAGTCAAGAAGGTAGAGCGTGGGATTTAAGGGCAGTGAGAGGGATTAGAAACACAGCAATTACCCAGGAGACATAGAATGCCAAAGAGCTCAAAGCTAGGCAGATAAGATGGTAAGGCAAGTGTTGGGAGCTGGTCTGATGCTTGTATTTTGATACTAATTACTGGCCCTCAAGATCTGGTTCCTGCCTGGATAAACCTATCCTTGTTTATAAAGACAATATACAGGTCTGACTGATTAAAGGCTAAAACATGGGCAGGGCAAAATGAGGAAGGCGTGGCTAAGGTTCCCCGGCTTTGGGTTTAAGAGTATCATGGGAAACAAAGAGATGGGAAGCGAGGAAGAAGGAGGACTCTATGATGGGTTAACATGGAAAAGGAACCACATGGGCCAGGAGGAAAGACTCCAAGAATAGCATGGAAAGGCCCAGATAAAAAATATAAGCAAGTATTTGTAAGACTGTGGATGGAAGGTAGCCCAGATAGGAATGGATAAGGTAGATGGCATTGAATGGGGGCTGGGAGGTGGGTAGGGAGGTTACTGAGATAGTGTGGGTAGAATATCTGCCCAGCTCAAGGTAAATAAGGCAATTATAAAA